TGTTTTTGCCCATACAGTTGAAGTCAATAGGCTCCAATAGTTTGGGTCGGAATGTTCTTCAAAATATCTTTTATGTTCAACAGAAGAATGAAGTTCATAGATGTTTGGAACCACACGAACGTTAATGACGACAAAAATTCTCATTTTTTCTTTTTTAATTGTGACCTGTACTCAGTGTTGGGGATAACGCATTACAAGTAACGCGAGTTACGTAATCAGATTACTTTTTTCAAGTAACTAGTAAAGTAACGCATTACTTTTTAATTTACAAGAGAATATCTCTTCCTCTTGTAAAGAGTTACTTTTTTCAAATAAGTAATGCAAGTTCCCTTTCAGTCGGTCTCGACGTCACGTTGGATGACCGACGAATTGGGATCTCGCTTAGAGATGGCTATGCTTTCCCGGGCCGCCGTGGGGGTAGGGCTCGAGTGGAGACTTCCACCGTGTCCCGAGCCCTCAAGGTTGCACGATTGGTTCTCGGGGTGGTCCGCACTGGTTCTCAGCGCCCTGCCTTGGTGCCTTTCTTCCCGGAGGTGCATGAGGAGCTCGACAGGTCGTGGACGGCACCTTTTACTGCCGGAAACCGATCTGCTGGTTCCTCCTCCCTCACCACCCTCGTTGGTAGATTGGTCTCTCTAAGCGAGATCCCAATTCGTCGGTCATCCGACGTGACGTCTCCGTTCCCTCCCTCAGGAAACGAGGGTTACCATACGTAACCGAGACATTACTTTTTTTTTTTTTTAAATTTTTTGATTTACTTTTTTATGGAGTAACGCAATATTGTAATGCATTACTTTTAAAAGTAACTTTCCCCAACACTGCCTGTACTTATAGTGTACATTGAAAGAACAAAAGGTTGATTTTGCAAATATAATAATCAGTCCAGCTGATGTTATGCTTCAAGTTAGCTAAGAAAAAGTATTTTTACGGTATACTTGAGCAATTCCCTGAACCTAGCTTTATACAGTCTTAGTAATGTCTTGACCTTTAGAACATGGAGGAACATAAAGGAAATTGTCTTTGCTTTTATAGCAAGTATATGAATTGCACTTTGCTATTTTTTAAGTACACAGAACATCAAATATATATATTTCTACAAAGCAGCTGACCACGTAATCCATTTAGAAATTTAACCTGCTTTTGCAGAATAGATTCACGTACTGTATGTTGAAAATGTAATGGAAGTCCTTGAAAGCATGAAGAGCAAACCAAATGAAAAGTCATCTTAGAAAAAAATCATTTCTGGGAATCTTGCTATTGAAATCAGGCAGGTAACTCTCAAAAGCACTTTCACAAGTTCACAGTTCAAGACTCAAGGTACTATCAGGGCATTTTTATCCAATGAGCTTGGATGCAGGGTCATGGACAAACATATAAAATATGTACAATTTTATTTAAATATTTCTGAAGACCTGAACAAACATTTAACTAATTATCTGCTGAGCATAATATATCACACAAATGTTGATTAATGACATTATTGAAAGTTATCATTTGGGAAAGCGTTGTGCTTCACTGGCTTTAAAGAAACATCATTCTAAACATTATAAGACCATGACTGATATGTTGCCCAAGATGGAAGAATTCATGTGTTCAATATCTCTATATTCAAATGTGTGGCAGAGTAAGAATAAAAAACAGACCTCTGAAAGTAAATTTTCAATAAAATAAACATAACTATGAAAATGGGAAGACTAAAGTGTCCAAATGGATGTTGTACTGTAACTGATTGGGTGTTAGGTGTCCTCTAGGTACACACATTTTCCCTTCCAATTTCTCTTCTCACATTTTCCGCTAATTTCTCTTATTTTGTCCGTTCATCTGTTTGTAGAGAGTGCTGTGCCTGTGCCGTTATTAGACTGCTCTACTACTTTATTGCTCTCTAGTGTAGTATTGTTGAATCATTGATTTCAGCTTTGCACAGCCCTAAAACATCGCATAAAAAACAATGGGTTGGTTGTTTTACAAGTTGGTAGATAGGTGGTTTTAGTGGACTGGAAAGGTAATGGTCCTGAAGAACATTTTTGTTTTTTTTCTTGGTTTTACCAGTTAATAACTGAAGTTGGTTAAAATCAAACTCTAATCATCACAATGACAGGAAATGTGCTTATTTTTTGGATTAACAGATGTTATTGTTGCTCTTATTATTTAAAATGATGTATAAGACAATAACAAAATATAGATCCCCCTGTTCCACAGATACAACAAGGGAGAAGGTCATAACATTTTCAGCTACTAATAATAACAGAAGACCTTTATGTCAAACATACAGTAAGCTGAACAGTATAAGAATAAATACAAGTATAATAAATACAGTACAGATGAAAAAACAGTACTGTCTGTGGGACAGATACAGTGCAAGTTAGAAATACATTAACAGCTTTGTATCCTAAAGGTGAATTCAGTGTAACAAAAATAAAGGGATTTATGTATCTGAATTAGGGACTGGGTGTCAGTCATAGTTTTATTAAGGGGGTCAGCTCATCTCAGGTCCAGGAATCATAGCATTTTTTAATTATCATTTTAATTCAGATTGTATGGTCGTAAATACATTAATCTGATTATGATACGTGGTCATTGGCTTTATAACGAAATCCATTTACATCTGTGCATGTTCAAACAAAGTTAAAGGGTTAGTTCACTCAAAAATGAAAATTAGGCTGTGTTTTACTCACCCCCGAGGCATCCTTGGTGTATATGACTTTCTTCTTTCAGACGAATCCAGTCGGAGTTATATTAAAAATTGTCCTGGCTATTCCAAGCTCTAGACATTCTTCTTTACAAATCCTCGTTTTGTACTTCTAACTAGTGACCGTTGTTTTGTTTTGATCTCTCCGCTGCGTTTCCGCGTGCGTCACTTCTGAGCGGCGCATGCGCAAAGCCGACCTCATACGCCATCTGCCTGGAGCTGCTTCCGTGTACAACTGCTGGCGCAATCTAGATTAAAGTGATTATTACGTTTTAAATATGGTTATTTTTCTTACAAAAACGCATTGATTCGCTACAGGAGGTCTTTGTTCACCCCCCGGAGCCGTGTGAGACACTTTTTTTATGGATGGACGCTTTTTATTTCACTTCTTTTGGACTGAAGCACTGCAACACCCGCTGACTGCAATGATAGAGCTTGGAATAGCCAGGACAATTTTTGATATAACTCCGACTGGATTCGTCTGAAAGAAGAAAGTCATATACACCTAGGATGCCTCGGGGGTGAGTAAAACACAGCCTAATTTTCATTTTTGGGTGAACTAACCCTTTAATGCTGGGTGATATCACAAACATTAAAGTCACCATGAAATGAAAATTCTTATTTTGTTATGGAATACTGCAGTCTTTATTATCAAATATTTTTCCATCGGGAGCTCTCCCCTCACAGCAATAAAAAACGACAATGATCCACTGATCCAAAGAATTCACAGAATCAACTAAATTTATGGACAAATCAATGGAAAAAATAAAATAAAAATCTTGTTCAGAAAGCTGTTTCACTTTGGTATGTCACAATACGGAAGACAAGACAATCACAACTTCCATTTCATGATGACTTTAAAATGGCCTACATTTTGAAATTTGCCAGTCTTGTGCTGTGAACATACTGTAAAGGAGAATTGACAAGTTGCTTAAATTACGGTCCAAAATTGAGAAATTGCATATTTCTACGAGAATATGTAAGCAGTTTTTTATGGAAATGATCCTTGAAAGTTGTCTCTGAAATAACTACTGAGATACCATGCCAATCCTGAGTAAAACAAAAAGTGGCCAGGTAATATTCTTTGCTTAGTCAAACACAAGACTTTTGAGGCACTTTTTGCCAGTCATTCATTTTGCACGTTCACATCATGCAGTCCATAGCCTATATGGAAAGCTAGAAGCTGAGTGACTTGAATATGGAGCAAAACAGGTGCAAAGCTTGCTTTACTTCTGCTTGTAAGATAAAAATATCATGGTGATCATCACCAAAGTGGTGAGGTTGTATAGCCGAAGTCTTGCTGAAGTCCAGAACGACTACACTCCTTAAAATAAAGTTTTTTTTTTCATTGGCCTCAGTGGTTCCACAAAGTTCTATCAGAAAGACTCAGAGAGAAGGTAAATGTTTACATGGTATTTATTCCGTAAAGTGTTACAGATGGTGGTGGTGAGTTACAATAATTCATGTATAGTTGTATAAAAGTTCTTTGGCGTAGGCCCCATCCCTTATCCAAATCCTGAGGATGCAGATTTGGCTGATCCTGCCTGAAGATGAAAGCAGGGGCGGAGCCTACTGCCCATGGATGGACAGGGCCAACCTGGTGGTGGTGGGGAAGATGGAGGGGAACGTCATCGTCATCAACTGCGAAAAATGACACAGAGAATTTGGTGCTTATTTACTCCAGTTGTCAAGAAGTGATTGGCCAGACCTGTTAGTATACTTGAATGACATGGCATTGGAGTCTTCCTGACAGAACTTGCGCTGAAGCTTTCACATCCATGGAACCTTTTCATTCCACAAAAGATTCTTTAGATTATTAAAATGTTCTTCATTATTCTTTTAAGAAATGCTCACTGAAAGGTTCTTTGGCATCTTCTATGACATCGCTGTGAAAACCCCCTTTTGTAACCTTTATTTTTAAGAGTGTAGCATCACTTGCACTTTGATTTTTAAAAATGACAGTGCATGCACATGTAAACATGGTCATTGTTATCTGAGAATGGGGAATATAAAATGATGTGGCTGATAAAAAAATAATAATCCTGCCACCGTTTTAATGGCTTATTTAGTTTGTTATATATTTTGGCTTATTTAGTTATCATTGTAAAGTTTTGCAATGGTAGTAAGAGACACATTCCTTCATCTTAAAAAATAAATAAATAAAACAATAAAATAAAATAAAAACAATTAACAGATGGGTGGATGGTGTCGTTTGCGAGTAGTCACGTCATACCGGTTTTCCTCTCTCTCTCTCAGACCACTCCTCTCTCCTCTCCTACCCTCCGATCACCGCAACTGATGATCCTGCTCTCCGGTACCGGGGACAGGGTCTCGCGCTGCGCTCGTGCGAGCCCGAGGAACTGGATCCGCTGTTTTACCGCCCTGGATTTTAATCCATTAAACAAAAATAAGGGACAAGGTGGATAGAATACAAGAAGAAACGCGCGGGCCGTAGCTACAGACTCTATCCCGTCACGACATGTCACTTGTCATGACAGAGACGTCTATGGGCTTCTTTGAAAATGCGTAACGAGAGAAGCAGATCGTTGGCAATGAACTTGAATTTCCATTCCTCCACATTAACGGGAGGACATGGCTCAATACACAGATTCCTAAATGCTTGGGAACATAATTCTTTTTTTGCATGATCTCAGTAAGACATCAGTAGAGCAGTTTGTCAGTGCACAGCGCATTATGTCCGTTCAGTGCTGCATTGATGTAAGGGAAACGCTGGAGCGGAGGACAAACCGAACCGTCGTGTGATGTGACTCGTGTCTCTGGGATTAGTAGCCTACCAACCAATCTGTAGAAATAGTCTAATGGACAATTACTCAACGCTTCAGTGTAAGTAACCTTACCAAGTGTTTTTAATTCTAGTAGGCTATTGAAATGGTGGTGTAGCTGGTATCTAATATCTGGTAATATTCAGATTTATGAGATCAAGCACTTAGGGTACAACGGTCTAAAGGCCCACTATAAATCTGCTGCTTTCTGCTTACAAAGTAAATGTAGATTGAAAAAAATATATATTTTAAATGATTATTAATGGAGCAACACAATTCGTTTCTGTGCTGATTATTATGGGGTATGTCCGTAAATACCCCTTTTAAAATATATAAATATAAATAAGTCGAATTAAAAAGATATAAAATAAATACAATTAATTAGTTAATTTAAGAGGTGATGAGGCTCCTATAGTCCAGGAGGGTCTAGAATACTGTACTTTAGAGATAGCAAGATGCCTTTCTGAGGAACAAATTCAAAATTAGCATTTCATGTTCATCTTAAAACTCATAAATTGCATAACAAACTTCCTTTGTAACAAATCTGTTTGCACACTAATTTGCATTTTGCTGATTTTGTCAAATTTAGTCTTTTGTCATTGTATGCAATGACTTCAGAACAATGTTGCAGTGCATAGTGACAGGTATTTAAGAAAGTGCTGTGGCGATGTCTGTTGGTATTTAGCATTTTGAGAGACAATAAATTCAAAACTGCCTGTTACTTTGCCTTTTTAATTTAATGTGCTCTTACAGTATAACCCCTTTAAAATGTTTTACAGATTCACTGCAGCTTTACTTGAACAGGTTGAGTTAGTCTTGTAAATATGATACCTAGTAGCATCTTATCACTACTTAGTAGCCTGATATTTAGTCAAGTGATTTAGAGCTTGACATTTAGTCAAGGGATTTTTCAGTCTTTACATTTCTTTATTACAGAAAAGTGCTGTGAAAACGTGGATATGGCATTCTGCCATAATTGTCTATATTGTACCTTCTGATACTGTACAAAAAATGTGATGTACCATGCCAGAATTGCAAAATCAACTGCATTACTCTTCTTCACATAGTCACTGCGTTAAATCATCATGTGACCTTATTAAACCACCCAGTTCATCTGTATCTCAGTTAAGTTAAACCAGGAACTAAAAGTTGAACCAACTGACCAGTCCATTCATTACTAATCATTAATATCTCATATACCATTTTGCATGTCATTTCCATTATTGCCACAATTTACACTCTGGGTGAGACTTTCTGTGAATATCTTAGAGGGCCTAATGTTACTGAGAATACTGGGAGTTTTGTCAAAAAGAACAAAATGTCTTTTCAAAAGCTCCAAGTAGTTTTAATGTAATCGTTCTTAAGGTACACTGCGCTATTTGCACCTTTTGGACATTTTTAGTCGGAATACAAAACAAAACACTCATTGTTAAAAGTTATTTTATTAGTTAACCTTGGCAATAATGTTACAGTATGTCCATCATCCTGCAGTTCCTGGAACATTTAATCAGATATTTTGTAACATAGCTGCTGCTGTGTTAGTTCCTCAGTCTGCTCAGAAAGACAACGCTATTACCCCTTACATGCCAAGCTGCCATATTCTGAGAAGGTGTGTGCTGCAGATAAGTTGCTGGACAGGTGTAAGCAGATTAGGGGTGGCAGTGCCTCATTCTGCCAGAGAAATAGGACCATAGCCGATGTGACGGCTGAACAAAAGCTGAGTGGCATGGCCGGTGGAGAGATGTTTGTATGATGGGCCTTGTGGCTGTCAGGAGATAAATAGCCCTCCGCTAGCAGGGGAGGGAGTTGGAAGGCCTGCTGGATCTGTTCCAGGAGCTTGGAGAGAGCAGGGGGAACGGAGGCTGTCACCAAGGGCACTGATACGGACTGTCCTGCTGCCAAATGCCAACCACTGTCCACATATATGTATATAAAAAAAGATGATTTATAGGTTTTTCAGGCAAGATGCCTTCAGTGCAGCTATCTTCTAAAGACAAATAGTCCAATCAGCAGAATAGGACCAGCCTGTGCTGAAGCTGGGTTTATGTGTCTGAATTCGGCCTAGTACCTGCTGAGTATGGTCTGTCTTGTGAATAGATCTCATCAGTTACTTGCTACTGTGACAGGAATTTGCAAAAGGAACATGATTTCACACAATCTGTTAGTTGTTGTAAAGATTCTGCCAAGCTGTGTTGTCATTAAAAAAACAATCAAGTAGTAACATTATTTTGACATGTCGAAGTCACATTTTGGATGAACTCAAATTTGGATTCAGAATCCATGAAATTAGAATTTGAAGTGTTTAATAACTTACAAAATTGAGGCTGGGGGGGATACTCACAAGGCCATGTGCTTGAATTATTTAATTATGTATGCTTGATCAAAGCATGGGAGCTTATGGGGACATGCAGAAGTTGTTATTAAAATTAAAATAGGTTTTAGCTCTTTTGAGTATTGTTGGTGGTTCACTTGGGCCATGTTAAATTCAATCCATTTCTCTCATGCAAATATTTTATAAAGGTGCAGTTTTATGTGCATTAAAATTTATTTGGGGACAATCAAGTGTGTTGGATGCCTGACCCAATGTTCAGCCAAAATTTCCTTTTTTAAATTATTTTTTAATGAAATTATAAAATAAACAAATATGAATTTCTTCAAACGTTTTGAGTAAATTAAACTCATTAAGAGACATTAAGACACTTTTTATGTTATGTTTTTTTATTTATTGATTTATTTATTGTTAAATAAGTCTGTATAGGTTTTATTCATTTTAATTTTACATCAAGCTAAACTACAAGAGGATGAGAAACGTTGCTTTGGCAACTAGTTACAATTATTTGTAGAATTATTAGCTGAACATTTTTTTTTTTTTTAGAATTATTTCAGTTAACATTTAATTTTATTTAAAGTAATGGATTTTTTTATTATTATTATTATTAATAATAATAATAGTTTTAAGTTAAAAATGATAACCATGGTTTGCAGTGAGTGCCTGCCTGAATTTTTATTTTTTTTATTTTTTTCTTCTGTTTATGTGTTGGATAGCTTGTCTCAAGCTGCATGATTCTCTCTGTATTTCTGCAATATGTATGGAATATATCATATGTGAATATGATACGGATGTGCGATGTCTGATTTTGACAAAATGCAAGACTCAAAATGTTATGTAATGTTACTAACCTTAGAAGTTTTTCTATTTGTATACTTGTGCAACACAAGTAAGACTAATGCTTTCCTTTATGTTGCCCAGAGTTTTGCCCAGTGATCTGCAGCCCAATGCTTCCATTTGCTGTTAAGGCACATTACAGTACATTGGTCTGTAAACAGTTGTGTCCTGTTCTGTCTTCTGAAGGTTTCTTTCAATGAAGACTATTTTCACAGCCCTAGGCTACCATTACATCAAGCATAGAAGTGGCTTCATAAGATAAGTTCAGTCCATGCAGGTCTATTTTTTCCATGTACTCAGGAGCTAGATGTCCTTAGAAAACTCAAATTGTAATTTCCTTTTATTATATTCCTCAAATTGACCCTGTCACTCCTTTATGATTTCCGTAATAGTAAATCTTTATGGTAATAGACTTAATTGGCTAAATGGGCTTTATACTTGCCCCCATTGAGTCAGTTCTTTGAATCTTTAATATTTTGTTTTGAGGTTTCATGCAACATTGTCAGAAGCCATTCATGGGCCTGTAGGCAGTGACAAAAAAGAAACAGTTCACTCCATTACCAGTATGTCTAAGGACATGACGCACCTCTCTTTTTCTCCCCACACTTTAATTATACTAGTCTGCTGAGGTTTAGAATAAAGACTGTGTTTGGTGTTTAACCAAATTAAAATTTGTATTTATTTATATATACTATATATCATTTTATATATTTATAAAAACACATATATGTTAAGAAATATCAGCTCTCTCCTCTGTGCTTCTGCATTCATCAGCGTACACTACGCCTATCCTACTCTCTTGTGAACATGTGTATGACAGTTAGCAAATCTATAGAGGAGATTACAGTTTATAAAGTTTTAAATATGGATATTTTTCTTACACAAATGAATAGCTTTGCTTCAGAAGGCCTTTTTTAACCCCCCGGAGCTGTGTGGAGTAATTTTTTATGATGGATGGATACACTTTTTTGGGCTTCAAGATCTCAACCCCTATTCACTGCCATTATAATGCTGGAAAGAGCCAGGATATTTTTTAATAGAACTCCGATTATATTCGTCTGAAATAAGAAAGTCATATGGCTTGAAGATGAGTAAATCATGGGGTAATTTTAATTTTTGGGGGAACAATCCCTTTAATATGTATTAATATATATTACATTTTAACGTCATATCCACTCTGATATGATAATCACAGGCAACCAAAAACATTAAAGTTTGCAAGTAATTCTAATTTTATGTTTCAACCAAAAATGGCAATAGAGGGGTTAAAGTGTATAGTGCACATAGTTAATTTACAATGGTTCCTATTTACGTTACCAGACAAAATATTTTTACAGTTCATATGTGTCACATTGGGACCAACCAGATGTGATTAAGAGGAATTGAAGAGCATTTGCATTAGAAGAGCACAGGTGCAAACAGTACAAACAGAGATAATGTTTCACCCCTGCACTCTGCTGCAAGCTGATTTGTACAGTTGTGCGTTTAAAAACAGTTTATGCAAAACCATCAGATACCTGCTCAAGCTGTATTGTATTGCAGAGCATATATGTGTAAATAATCCTTTAAATGTAGTCATTTATTAGCTGTTTCCATTAGTAGCAGTAAGGTGAAATCAGGTAAATTTAACAAATATTTGAAAGAACACTGTATATCACCAGTGTTAATGATTTAAGAGGCACAATATAATAAAGCAGTTTAGTTATGCGCACTTCAGGCTGGTCTTTGCCATGCGGCATGTGCTGATTTTGCTGTTCTACTAAAAAAAAAACACATTTAACATTCTTACAGTGTAACATTCTCTGAGATTAGAGAAACCCAGCAATCTCTCATGCAGAAAAGAAAGCCCACAGGGCCTCATCAGAATCATAATGTCATGTTAAGTGCAGAGTAAA